CTTTCCCTAGGATAAACTATCACTGTGGAATTGAGTTTTGACTCACGGAGATTGCACATTTTTAGGGCTTTTCGTGTATTTTGCCCAGTTACTTTCCCACCCACAGCGTTGGAGAGTCCCTGTTTCCCTTCACCCACCCAACCAGGTACCACCGTTCTTTTTAACGTAAAACAAGAAGTTTAAACTAAGTCTGGTTATGTTTTGTCATTTACTGCATATGTTAATATCCTCTTTTTGTTTGTTTGTTTCACTTGTTTTATTAAAACCCCGAGGGATGAGCAGGAAGAACTCATCATTCCCCATTTTGTAGAGGAAAACTGAGGTGCAGGAGAGGCTGGGTTTAGAACCCAGCTGTCCTGTCTCATAATTCCAGTTAATGAGAGCGATCAAAGGTTGGGCATGTGTCATGTGCCAGACCTCTGAGAGGTTATGTGCAGGTTTCACTTAATTTTCCTAACTGCTCCAAGAGGTGGGTTAAAAACTCACCAAGTCACAGGATCAGCAAAGGCTGCCTCTGTAGAAAGCCTCACCCCCTAACTTCCCACCCTGCCGCACAGCCTCCTCTGTGCAGTGGCGATCGAGCCCGTCTCTCTTGGCTAATTTCATTTCCGTTCAACAAATGCTAATCGACTTGCTGGCTTTTGCCACCTGGGAAAATCCAGAAGGACATTTCCCACCCTAAAGGAACTGAGTGTTACCATCAGAGCCCTTGGCCTCTGGCTTTCCCTCCCGGTTCTGGTTTTTCCATGCCCGTTTCCCCCTCCCCTGCTCCTCTTGGAGACAGCCCCCTCTCCCGCCCTGTTTTAATGCCTGCAGATCTGGATGGTGCCCAGGACGGATTTTGCACTTGTTTTCAAGTTCACTGTGTCCTGTGAACACTATTTTCTGCCGTTTCTCATCCGTCCATCCCCAGAGAGTGAGCAGGGAATTAGGGTTAATTTAGCTTTTTAGCTGACCAAGGAATACGGGTACCAAAAGATTAAGTGGTTTATCCAAAGTCCCACAGTTAAGAAACGGCACAGCTGGTTCCTAAACACAGGCTGCCCTATGTCTGGGGCATGAATTTACAGCAGTGGTGGCTGTCTTCTTCTGTTAAAAAAATTTTTTTTTAAATCATGATAAAATAGGGACTTCCCTGGCAGTCCAGTGGTTAAGACTCTGTGCTTCCACTGCAGGGGGCACGGGTTTGATCCCTGGTCGGGGAACTAAGATCCCACATGCCACATGGCACGGCCAAAAAATAAAAAAAATTTAACAATCATGATAAAATATACATAATATAAAACTTACCATTTTAACCATTTTAAAGCCTACAGTTTAGTGGCATAAATTAAGTGGCATAAGTGGCATTCACATTGTTGTGCCACCACGTTCGTTTGCCCAATGCACAGCAAGCCAAAAGGCTGAGATGCTGAGGTTTGCAGTGGAGAAAGGATGTATTCACAAGGCAGCCAAGCGAGGAGACAGGAGAACAAGCCTCAGGTCCACCTCCCCAAAGGCCAGGGGCTTGGGGTATTTATGGGATAAAGAAGCAGGGTGGTCTTAGGCGTGGGGACAGGTGATTGCAGGTAGGGAAAAGGTGAGGTAGTCAGTGTTCTGTGCAGGTGTATCTGGGTTACTTGCTTCTTCCTGGGATGCATGTTCAAAAATGGAGGCGCCTAGCATGATCTGACGGTGGGGTTTTTGGCCCTCTGGTGTCAAAAGGTCATTCAGCAGATACCTGTGCAGGCCCAGTTTTAGGGTCTGTGGTCCCAACCAGTCTTAGCTGGCTTGAGCTCGAACTAGACACCAAGTTCCTGGAAAACGACTCAGACAAACATCTTATTGTTTAGGCTACATGAAGCTTGGAGGGTTTGCAATTTGCAACGAAACAATTAAGCGAGCTTGCTAAGTGAAGGCAGGCTCAAGCAGAGGGGTTTTTAGCAAGCTGTAAGACAAGCCAGGAATTTCTGTTAATCCCATGGGGCACAGTTTCAGGATGTTTTTTTTTAACCTTATAGGGCACGGTTTCACAACCATCACCACCATCCATCTCCAGAACTTTTTCACTTTCCCAAACCGAAACTCTGTACCCACCAATTCTCCATTTCCCCCTCCCCTAGCCACTGGCCACCACCATTTTGCTTCCTGTCTCTATGAATTTGCCTGTTCTAGGTATCTTGTGTAAGTGGAATCATACAGTATTTGTCCTTCTGTGTCTGGCTTATTTCACTTAGCGTAATATTTTCAAGGTACCTCCATGTTGTAACATGTATCAGATGCTTATTCCTTTTTAAGGCTGAATAATATTCCATACGTACACATCACATTCTGTTTATCCATCACCCTCTGTTTGGATTGTTTTCACCTTTTGGCTGTTGTGAATAATGCTGCTATGAACTTTGGTTTATGAAATTGGTTTGTTTTTAAAAGTGCCACCTAGAATCCAGCCCACTGCCACCCACCATATCACCAATGAAGGCGTTCCAGCCTCTCTCCCCTGTGTAGCCTCAGGAGTGCCCACCCCTACCGTCACCTGGACCAAGGTAGGTGAAGCCTGTTACCACAAAGGTAACCGGGGAGGTAGTCCCAGTGCATCATGGGGAGAGGAATGATGCAAATCGCCGTGGGGTGTGGGCTCTGCTGATGTCACCTGTGACTCTACCACAGGAAACCAATGCCCTGGCCTCCAGGGATCCCCACTACAATGTGAGCAAGGATGGTACCCTGGTCATTGCCCGGCCATCTGCCCAGGATGCAGGGGCCTATGTCTGCACAGCCACCAACGCCGTGGGCTTCTCCAGCCAGGAGATGCAGCTTTCTGTCAACAGTGAGTGATGGCCACCCCTGTCCTGGGAGAGGGGCTTGGCAGGCACTGAGGCAGGGGCATGGACAATCTGACCTCTCCTGCATCCTCCTTGCATCTCGTCAACCCTGCCTCTAAATTCCTCACGTCTGAAGGGCATGTAGACCAAAGCTGTCTTTCAGAGCACTGTCCCCTGTAGTGTGGGCATGCTCCAAGAGTGGTTCCAACTCAGCCCTTTGTCACCGGATGGGGGGAAGACATCACATTAACAAGCCTTGAAAAGACACAGGGCCCTACACTGGACCCCCTCCCTCTCACTGGCAGCCCCTTTCGCCCACCTTTCTCCCCAGCTCTTTGTGCCCAGACCCTTTGGCCTCCTTTCAGTTTCTTAAATGATCCATCCTGCCTCAGGGCCTTTGCATGTGCAGTTCCTTCTGTTGGAATGCCCTTCCCTTACCTGGTCCAGCCTACTTCTCCTGTCAGTCAGATCTCAGTTCTCTCTGATCTCTGAGGCTGTGTCAAATCGCCTTGCTGTGAACTCTCTGGAATGTCCCTTTCTTAGTGCCCATCACAACTGTGATTAAATAATTAACTGTGTGTTGAACTGTTTGGAACCAGTGTTTCCCTGGGGCCCTTGGCACAAAGGGAGACTGGGCATCATCTGATGGTTAATCCCATTTATTCCTGAGAATAAATGGGATAATCAAGGGCGAGAAGGGAGAGAGAGGACAGAACCTGCCAGAATGTCCCCGGGGAAGGGAAGCAGGACGGAGAGAAGCAAGAAGAGGACACTGGGGCAGGAGGGACCATGTCAGGGTCATCAAAGCAAGACGAGCTTCCGGCGGGAGGATGGGGTAGACAGGTGGGGTGGGGTATGACTAGGGGAAACCATTGGATCTGAGCCCACCCTGAAACCTACACTCTGCCATTATAATAGAGCCCACCCACCTTCTGCATCTCTGGGGTGGCAGTGCCACCTCAGCTTCCTGGGGGAGCCATGCTGGTCCCCTCTGGGCCGCGACCCGTGACTCCCTGCTCTGTTCACGCCCCCTGCATGATTCTACCAACAGCCAAGCCCAGGATCCTTGTGAATGGGTCATGTGACGCAGACAAGCCTCTGAGGGTCACAGCCAAGGCCAGTGACGAGGTGACCCTGGACTGTGAAGCCCAGGGCTCTCCACCCCCACTGGTCACCTGGGCCAAGGACTCCCTTCCTGTGCCACCCGTCACCGACAGGTAACCCCAGTTGCGGGGCCTTGGGTCTGGGGATGGACAGAGCTTGGGGTTTGAGGAAACTGACCTCCAGGTGACCAGTGATCCGGCCAGTGTATGGGACCCTGTGGACACCCCCAGGGGCACGCAATCCGATTACACACAGAGCACTTTGGGCCAATGGCCTTTAAGGGAGCATGGATGCCCTTCAGAGGGGGGAGGCCTCTGAAATAACACGCACACAGCGCTTCACACACGGCCGAGGGGCGCTGCATGCAGGATTGCCTTCAATCTGCTCAGCAGAGCAGAACTGAGTGGAACTGAGGCTCAGCGAGGTGGGGTGACCTGCTTGTGGTCACTCAGCTAGGAAAGA